GGGGATAAGGCTCCCCTCACTAACATTTTGGCCACATCATTCTATGAGCACACCATTCTATTTTCTCTAGAATTTTCTTGATACAATATCATTCATAAAATTAAATTACAGAAAGCTGAAGGACCCATTTTAAAATTTATAAAAATAATAGAAGTAGGGGAGCATACTTATAACTTAAGGTGTCAGAGATTTTTTTTTTATGTTGATTTTTAAAAATTTTATTTATTTTTGCATGGAAGAATGAGGGTGTAGACCAGAGGTTCAGAGGATAAGAGAATTCACCAGAGACAAAGTAGGGAGCAGAACAGCAAGACAAGCAAATCTGTTGAAATGCTGAGGGGAGCAGCAGGGGACACAAGAGAGGTCTGCTGGGCCATGTAGGTCACCTCCCTGGCTGATCAAATTCAGGCCATAGTGGTCATAGTGCTGGGACTGAACCCATCGGCCACCAGGGAGGCCCAGAGGTTATTTTTAAACAAGACACAAAATAAAAATTCATGAATGGAAGGTTGAATACATTTGGTTAAAATAAAAATTTCTTGATGATCAAGCAATCACAAGTAAAATTAAAAGAAGGGTAGAGAAGTGCATCTGAAATTTATAACCACGTATCATTACCTGGGCTATATAAAGATCAATTTTAAATAAAAATATGTTTTAGATAAATAAAATTATGTACTGTATGGCCTCCTTAAATGCTAAATAAAGCATTTTGGTATAAAGATATATTAAAATATTTTAGAATCATTTTTAGAAAGACACATTATTTTAAACTGGACAAGAATAAGAAAGAGGAAATCAAGTGGAATACAGATGCTAAAAAACTCTTACTGTTTGTAGTAATCAGGAAAATGTAAATTAACATGATACCACTTTTAACTATCAGATTGAGAGAACTATAAAGATTGATAACATCAAGAGCTATTGAACAAGTAAGGAAATAGACTCTTGTTCACAGTCAGAGAGAGTGTTTAAATTGGCAAGATTTTTAGAGGAAAATCTGGCAGTGACTATTAAAATTATAAATGTGCATCCCTTATGATCCCATCCTTGGCAATGACCAAGGATGAAAAGTTGCACATTTTTTCAAAGAAGTCTCTACAAGATGTTAACTATAGCATTATTTATAATAATAAAATATTCACAAAATTGAAATGTTCATCAACTGTGGAATAGCACATCATACTATAGAGAATGTGCAACAGTTTTTAAAAAGAGGTAGATCTCTAGATACTGATCTAGAAATACCTCTGGTATATTTTGTAGCATGTAAAATTCCATCCCAGTTTGGTTCACTAGATAGGCCATGATATCATTTATATAAATTTAAATTCCTATAAAAATGAAAGTACATTACTTTGTATTTAATTTTATGTACATGGATGCATATATACAAATCTAAGGATGCACATTAAATTATGTTTGATGTTACCTTTGGGTAGGAAACTGCGATTTATTAGGGGATGGTGTCAGGGATTTTTCACTTTTTTTTTTTTTTTTGCTTCTGTATTTCATTATTCTCTGTATTGTTTGAAATTTTACAATGTGAATGTATATATGTCTTACCTATAATATTGTTATTTCTTTAGTGAATACTTACAGTTTATATTTAATTCCTTTGGAAAAATACATAAAAGAAAGAAAGGGCCCTCCCTGGTGGCACAATGGGTCAAAGCATAGCACTGCAAGCTAGCTGCAGCCACTGCAGCATGAGTTCAATCCATGGCCCGGAGGTGACCCACATGGCGCTGCAGACCTCTCCTGTCTCACCCACTGCTCCCCTCAGCAGTGTACTTCATCGATCTGCCTGTTCTGCTCCCCACCCTGTCTCTGGTGAATCTTCTTATCAACCCTGAACCTCTGGCCTGTACCCAGTATGGTATGCATAAATAAATAAATCTTGAAGAAAGAAAGAAATGAGCTTTAGAATTAAACCTAAATGTGACATGAAGAAACTTGTTTCATTCTCCTGGAGCCTGTCTCTTCCTCTGTAAAATGAGGATAGTTCATTGTGAAGACTACATTTGATAAACCTGCTACTTGGGAAGCTGAGTGCCTTTACATGAACTAGTAGTGGCTGGCCTTTTCTCTCCTCCTTTTGACCCTGAGTACCTTGTGGGCCAAAACCATACTTCAGCTGCTGGTCTGTCCTAGGTTCCATGTAAATAGAAGCTCCGTTTCTTTTGTTGAAAGAATGAGTGCATGAACAAACCACATTTGCTCAAAGTTAATGGATAAGCATATGTTCACATATGTGGATTGTTAATGAGTAAATAAGAGGAGCCTCCTGGCTTCCACCAGGAAATCAAAAGGTTTGTGAGAGCAATAAATAAAAAATAACCAGAAATTTGTGCCAGAGGGATACAAATTTTTGAGCAGGAAGACTTATCACATAACTCTGAGATTTCCCAACTATTTTCTTCAGAACCTCCCAGCTCTGCAGAGTGATCAGACTGAATGGGCATGGGTAGGGTATTGGAAGGTCGAACTGAGAACCCGGTGTCCAGACTGACACTGATTATACTAAAGAACAGATGTGACAGTGACAGTAGAACACTGACCCCCAGTCTCTGCAGCAGCCACGGGAAAGTAAAACTACAACCTCTGTAGCCATCAGCCCAGATGGTTAGGACTCTGATTATCAACTTGTCTGACTTTTGACCCCACTTTCTTCTCTACTTCCAACTCAGGGCCAATAAGAGAGAGCCAAATATGCTCTCCAAACCAATCACATAAGATATGCCACTTCTATTTACGGATTCCCAGCTTCCTATGTCAACAAACTCCAATTAAAGTACCTGTAGTTTTCTCTTTCCCACTCCTCTTCTTGTCTCTCATTCTCTGCCAAATGCTAGTGATGCCAGCTCCCTTCCTTGCTATTCAGCAAGCTCTAAATAAATTGCCTCTATTTGTTCTTATTTCAGTGGGCTTTCTTTATTTCCACAAAGCCTTCTCCCACATTTAAACTAGTTATTATACATGCCATAAATTGGGGTTTATATATAAGGTTTCAATTTAAAAATTCTACTGCTAAATATTTTTAAGTCACCAGTGTAGATGAATGCCAAGAGCTAAACTTCTAAAGGAATCTGAGGAAGGATGCTCAACTTGCATTAAACCAAGAAAGAAACAAATAATATGCAGACAGATGGCAGCAAAGAAGGCCAGACAAAGACAAGTCTGAGCCTGGACAATGGTCAGAGTCTTCCAGATACCTCAGTAGGCTTTATTCCATAAACCAGACACAGCTGAATTCAGAAACTGCAGGAAGTGGAATGCATAGGTGGAAGGCTCCTTATCAGCTTCTCAGGGGTGGGCTGAAGTGAATTACAGTTGCAAGACTGTTGAAATGTCCCCTGCCAGATGTGCAGACAAATAAACCAAATATACATAAGTTGTTAAACCAAATATACATAAGATGTTAGAGGGTTTAAAAAGGAGGAGGATGGGACCCTCCCTGGTGGCGCAGTGGGTTAAAGCACAGCACTGAGAAGCTAGAGCCACTTCAGCATGAGTTTGATCCCCACCTGCCCCAGAGGTGACCACATGGCGTGGCAGACCTTTCCTGACCCACCCGCTGCTCCCCTCAGCAGTGTACTTCGTCGATCTGCCTGTTCTGCTCCCCACTCTGCCTCTGGTGAATCCTCTTGCTGCCCCTGCACTTCTGGCCTGTACCCCAGTTCTGTATGCATCAATAATTAAAATCTTAACAAAAAAAAAAAAAAAAGAGGAGGATGGTTGGGAGGGTTCCAGATTCCACCTACACAGAAAAATGGCTTCTTGGATGCTGGGATTGGAGCCTGCCCATCTACCCACGACTGTTTGCCTGTCTGAGATCCCAAAATTCCTAGCATTACTCTATCCAATCTTTAATTCTATTTAAAATACAATATGGCTGTGTTTTTCAAACTGTTGGATGCTAATAGATGTCGCAACAACAACAAAAAAAGGGAGTGTTGCAGTCAAATAAATTTTGGAAGTGCTGGGTGAAACCCAGTTAAACAAATTTCATTTTAGCAGAACTTTGTACACTCTTCAATATGCTGATATGTGTTCTGAGTCTGTAAGGAGGAGGATATAGTGTGCAACATTTCCAAACATTTTTAACTATAGAAATTGATTTCCTTCCCACCTATTTACACCTTCTGAGTACCATTCTGTGCATACAATTTTGGAGACACAGGTTTGAGATGGTGCTACCTTTCAGAGGAAAAGTATTATCTGGTTAACACCTCTTAACCTACTGTACCCCACCAAAGGGAGGGTCAAGGGGTCATATGCGAAGTGGCCCAAGAGAGATCAGTTGTGATGACAAGAGAGTAGACTCCTAAAACAGTGCTCTGGGCTGATGGAAAGTTGAAGTGGGCTTCAGGTCGGCTTAGTAAAGTTTGAGGAGACTAAGCATAAATTCCAGATGGAGGAAGTCAGGATTACTTTCATCTAGTTTGTAATTTTCCTAAATCAGTATCCCCAGGAAAAAAGAGTGGCTAGGAGAATTACAGTATAAGGTGGAAACAGAGATTCAGGTCAAGAATTCTTTTTATAACACTTCACCAGTGGTGGTCAGAATCCTATTTTAGAGTCGAAACAACTGAGGGTAAAGAAATGATGCCACTCTCTGTTGTCCCAGCAAAGCCGCTTTCGGCAGCCACACCACAAAGTCAATGCTAAACCGCAGGGAAGAGGCACAGAACATTAAAAGGAGTCCGCTGGGCCCTCCCTGATGGCGCAGCAGGTTAATGCACAGCACTAAGAAGCTAAAGCCACTGCAGCATGAGTTCAATCCCCACCTGGAGGTGACCCACATGGCATGGCAGGCCTCACCTGACCCGCCCGCTGCTCCCCTCAGCAGTGTACTTCATTGATCTGCCTGTTCTGCTCCCCACTCTGCCTCTGGTGAATCCTCTCACCGCCCCTGCACCTCTGGCCTGGACCCCAGTTCCGTATGCATAAATAAATAAATCTTACAAAAGAAAAAAGAGTCCGCTGAGTTCACTTACTTAAGGATCACACAGCCGGTGCCTGCTGGGGGCGCTATCCAGAACACCTGGATCCGCGTCCTCCTCCGGGGGGTACTTTCAGTGACAGCAACCGGACAGTTGCTCATAAACTGTGTTTCTTCTTCATCTATGATCTGTGGAAAACCAGGGGAAAATAGACACATTAAAATGCAATAGCACTTTGGGAAGACTCTTAAGTTTCCAAGTTGATGCTTCTTTAATTTTATTTTTAAAACTGTCATTTTGCTGTTAGCAGCTCTAGATCCCAGACACCAGAATAGTGCCTGGCACAGAGTCTTAGGCTAGGCTGTGGGATTAACATAAGGGCAAGGATTTGGCGCCTATCATCTGTTCCCTGGGACCAGAGTCTAGTGTCAGCACTTTGAGGAACAGGCCACTAGGTGATGATCTTGCTCATTTCACAAGGACAACAGAGTCCATTTCAGGGAAGGAAGAGGGGGCTGAGAGAGAGATAATCCAAAGTCAACACGACATAGCTAGACGTTGTCATTCAGTTACAAAATTATAATTTTAACTTAAAATATTAAAAGAAAACATCCGTTGGAGGAAGTGGACCAACGTGGCCAAGTCTGGTTTCATGGCTCTCTACCCGTAAGTGCAGTCTCTACTTTCTTCATTTTGGTGTTCTTCCAAAGTTAACCATCAGGTTAACCAGGATCAGGCAAAAATGCTGACCCCATCCCCATTGCCCAAGGCAGTGGCAGCTTCTTTTCCTGTTTACCTCAAGGTCAGGGATCAGTACTTGGTTCTCCTGTTATTAGAACCACAAACTCTTAGATCTGGAAAGACCTTTCGTGGGAAACAATCTAAATCCAATGGGTGTTCAGTGCCATTTCCAATTGATTGATGGTAGCTGTGGATGAGTAGTGATGATAATATTAATAACTAACATTTATTAAGAGTTTAATATTTGTTAGGCACTAAGTTCAATGCTTTATCTGAATGACTTCTTTAATCTTCAAATACAATTTAATGTGATCATTATATCCATACTGTCTTTATTTTACTTTTTTAAAAATTCCTCTTCTTTTTAGGACAAAGTTAAATATAATTGCCACTAAACTCTTTAGTTGATAATATAATTGTATCACTGAACAAAGCAAAGGTAAATTTGATTACATTTTGTCTCTGTGTTCTTTATCTTACTCCCATTTTCATCCTTTCTGTAGCACCCACTCCTAAGTATTTATGTCCTTCTGAGAAAATGTATGTGTATATATATCTGAAACTGTATATATATATATATATATACATATATATATCCATACATATATATAAAGTGATGTAGAACTGCTTTATATTTAAATGGTTTTTTATACTTAACCTTATGCTTTTGAGATAAGTCAATGTTATTACAGATGGTCCTGACTTATGATGGTTTGACTTATACCATATTTTTCCACTTTAAGATGGTACAAAAGTGATACATATTCAGCAGAAACTTGCATTTTGATCTTTTCCTGGGCTAGTGATATATGGTGTGATGCTCTCTCTCTTGTGATGTAGGTGGAGGCAGCCAGCTGGTGCCACATCCTAGAATGTTACCTTATAGAGGGTAAATTGTTTACCCTCTACAATGGACTGTCACTAATGTTTTACCAGTACTGAACCTAGGCTACATTAGGAAATGTCTGACGATATATAATTCACCTATCTTGAATGCTGCTGACTATTCCCCTGCATGCATAGACCCCATTATACTTGTATATTCTCCCAGGGAGGCACACTTTGCTGACTCACATCTCTTTGCCTCCATAAACACTGCTGCAATGAAGATCCTCAAGCTGCTTTACTTCCTGAGTTTATCAGTCATGGAAACCATGCAATGGGATTGCCAGGTTGTGCCTATATTCATATTAACTTCATTAAATACTGCCAGATTGTTGTGTAGAATGGGTGCATCTACTTTTATTCTATTAGCTATGCATAAATCTTCTCATTTCCCCACATCCTCACCAGTACTTGTGATTACTGGACTTTCCAGTGGCTTCTAATCTGATGAATGTAAAGTGACATCATGTTTTAATTTAATACTAGAAAACTGGGGTCTCTATACATGTGTCATTTTTTCCTTCTGTGAATTGCCAGTAGATTTTTTGGTTCTTCATGTTGATTTGTAGAACTTTGTAGTTTTGAATTCTTCATCATTTACAAATATTATTTTGTCACCCAGCAACTCGGCTTATTATCTGAATCCCCATTTAATAGATATAATTTTCCTCTTATTAAATTCATCAGTTTCTCTTCTACCATTTGCACTTTTGTGGTCTTGCCTAAAAACTGAGATCATGAAGATACATGTAAGGCTTCAATCCACTTAGAGTTTTTTTTTTTTTTTAATATGATGAGATATATATCCAACTCCATTTTCTCTCTTGTGAGTTACTTAAAAAATAAATTAATAAACTTTTTTTTTAAGCTGTTGCAGGTTCCCAGTCAAATTGAATAGAAAGAACAGGAATTGCCATATATTTCTTCGACCCCATCCATGCACAACCTTCCCCCATTGTCAATACCTGAATCCAGAGTGGTATATTTGTTAAAAATCCATAAGCCTACATTGGCACATCATTAGTACCCAAAGTTTATAATTTATATTAGCATTCATTCTTGGTATTATATATTCTATGGATTTTGACAATCGTATAACGACATGTATTTACCAATCTCTGGCAACTATTCATATTTGCTTATAATCACTTATTAGTAACAGGGGGATTTTTGTTCTTTCAGATTTTCCTCTGCAGACAATCATGCTACCTGTGAGCAAAGACAGCTTTTCTCTTCTCATTCTTCACTGAGATGGTCTGTTCCTTTCTTTTTAATTTTTTATTTGTCAATCCTTTTTACATAATTTTATGATTTGGGGAGTACAACGTCACACCTTCATATGTGCACACACTTTATTTACTTCCCTTCCATCAAAACCCCAGTCATGTTATCCTAGCTGCTTCCTCTAGTAATCCTTCTTCTTCCCTCATTCTTTAGATAACCAGTACATTATTCAGAGTCTAAGCATTATTTTTGCTTTGTGCTTTGTCTGTTTGTTTGCTTTGGTTATTTAAATTCCACAAGTGAGTGAAACCCTCTAATAACTGTCTTTTACTTCTGACTTACCTCACCTCAAAATCCCTCCATTTTGTTCCTAAAGGTACTATTTCACCATTTTTAGTAGCTGAGCAGTATTCCATTGAGTATATATTCCACAATTTCTTTATCTGTCAGTGGGCATTTAAGTTGGTTCCATGACTTTGTTGTTGCGAAAAATGCTGCAAGGAGTGATACAATTCTTGGTATTAGTAGTTTCATAAGTGAACAAAAGCAGTCCTATTTCTTCTTTCCTGACAGGTATATTTTTATTTTCTTTTCTTGTCATATTGTATTAGCTACACCTTCTCATCTGTATTGAAAAGTAGCGACTAGAAGGGACATCTTGTCTTGTTTTGATCATTACAAAAATCTTCAAATTTCTTTACTGGTAAGTATGAAGTAAGCTATAGGAGTCTTGTAAATGTGCTTCATCAAGTTGAGGCCATTTCTTTCTATTCCTAGTTTGCTGAGAGTTTTTACACGAATAACTTGAATTCTGTCAAATGTTTTTTGCATCTATTAATATGATCATGTGGTTTTCTTTCTTTAGCCTGTTGATGTGATAGATTATATTAATTGATTTTCAAATGTTAAGTCAACATACATACATAAGATAAATCTCATTTAGTTATGGGTTACACACATACACATATTATTGGAATTGAATTGCTTTTGGTTTTGTTGATTTTCTGTATTGACTTCTTGTTTTCAATTTGATGTCTATGCTAAGTTTTACTATTTCCTTTTTTTTCTGTTTAGTCTGAATGCAATTTGCTTTTCCTTTACTAGTTTCCAAAGATGGAACCTTAGGTTATTGAGTTTAGATCTTTCTTCTTTTGTAAATACACATTCAATGCTATATTTTCTTTAAACACTACTTTTGTTGCACCACACAAATTGATAAATCTTGTTTAAATTTGGCTATTTTCAGCTATGTCTTTGTTAATGATTTCTAACTTATTCCACTGTGGTCTGAGAGCAGACATTTTATGATTTCTATTCTTATGTTTTTAATAGTGTGTCTTATGGCCTACAATGCGGTCTATCTTGATGAATGTTCCATGTGAACATGTGAAAATGTGCAATCTACTTTTGTTGGATGAAACAGTCTATAGATGTCAATTATATCTAGTTGAATGATGTTGCAATTGAATTCAACTATGTCCATACTGATTTTCTGTCTGCTAGCATATCTGATAGAATGGTATTGAGGTTTCCAACTATGATGGTGGATTCATCTATTTCTCCTTACAGTTCTCTGTTTTCACCTGGCATGTTTTGGTGCTCTGTTGTTTGAGTTCTAATATAAAATTTTGTATACCTTCTTTATCATTATGTGATGCCCCTCTTTATTTTCTGTTAACTTCCTTTCTCTGGGGTCTGCTGTCTGAAATTTGTATTATGATTTCTGTATCCTTTTTATTAGAGATAGCATTCTATATCTTTCGCCATTATTCAGATTATAATCTCTCTATATCTATATCTTTATATTTAAAGTAGACTTATGGTAGACAACATATAAGGGTCTTGTTTTTGATTCACTCTGAATATATGTCCTTTAATTGACTGTTGATAGTTAAGATGATTATTAGTTAGATTACTATTTACCATATTACTGTTTTCTATTTATTGTTCTTGTTGTTTGTGTTATTTTTACAGATTTAACTGAACATTTTGTATGACTGAGTTTTCTTTCCTTTGTCAGCACTTCACCTGTATTTTTTTCTTTTTCAGTGGTTGCTCTGGAGTTTGTGATATACATTTACAACTAATCTAAATCCACTTTTAGGTAACACTATACTGATTCTTTATTTTTGTTACAAAGTTTTTTGAAAATCACTAAAATTTCTTATTCTTCCTTCCCACCCCCCTTCGGATTTCCAGTTCTCTGCTTACACTGTCCATCTGTTCTTGCATGCTGTCTACTTTACCCATTAGCACCCTTAGCATATTAATCATTGTTTTAAAATCCCAGCCTGATAGTTGCAATATCCCTGCCATGTCAGGGTGTGATGCTCTGTCT